CAGGCCAGTGGCTCAGTGGCTGCTAAAAATAGTAACGGGGCCCATGGACAACCCTGCCGAACACCTGAGGAAATATCAAAGCTGTTGGATAAAAAGCCGTTGATAATAAGCTTTGCGGTTGAACGGTTGTGAAGAGTGAGGAACCATGAGATAAAGTAGTCCCCAAAGTTGAGTTTGACTAGGGAGGCTTTAAGGAAATCACGGCAAACAGAATCAAAGGCTTTCTCAATGTCAGCAAGAAAAGCGAAGCCTGGCTTCTGAGCATTATGCATATGATCCTGAACTTCCAAAAATGTGATGATGTTTTGATTGATGTTTCTGCCAGGAACAAAGCCAGTTTGGTCGTCTAAAACCAGTTTGTGCATAACTAATTTCATTCTTTCAGCCATCACCTTGGCAATAATCTTGTAATCAGCACATAAAAGCGAGATAGGCCGGTAGTTTTTGAGTTTGTTTCGATCCTCCTTTTTGTAGATCAGAGTGATGACGCTCGTGCGCATTGTTAAAGGAAGCTCCTTACTTTCGAGACATTCAAGAAGCAGATCCATATATGCATCTCCAATAACAGGCCAAAATGTTTTGTAGAATTCAACGGGCAGACCGTCTATACCGGGCGCTTTACCATTAGACAGTTTCTTTAAGCTTGACAAGACTTCTTCCTTTTCTACTATCCGATCACAAAAGATTTTGTCCGATTCGCAAAGGGTCGCGTCCATTGGTCTTAGAAACTGAGCGCGTTTAGCATCTTTATCTGTGTTCTTGGCTTGATAAAGGGTTGAATAGAAATTGGTAGCTTCCTGTAAAATATCGTCGATGTTAGTAAGAGGTGTGGTGTTGTCTCCAGGGTCAATTTCAGTTATCATAGACTTTTGGGCTCTAGCCTTCACCAGCGAAGAAAAGTAAGCGGTTGCTTTTTCCCCAAGCATGGCGTGCTTGGCACCTGCTTTAACTTTTGCTGCTTCATGAATATCGTTGTAATAATCGGCCAACATTTGACTCAATCTTCCTTTTTTAAGAGCTAATTCAGGACAAGCTAAAGAAGAAGAGCAAAGATCTTCATTAACAGACGAAAGTTGCTTTTCTAGAGAGTCAATTGTGCGTTTTCTACGTCCATTTTGTTCCTTAGCGTAGGGTTGAGTAACAATCTGAATAGCGTACTTCAAGCTTTCCCACCAGGATTTAGTATCAGGGTACGCATGACGAGCATCCTTGAAGTCATCAATTGTACTTTCAACAAGTTTCTTATAGCCAGGCCTTTTCAGCAGCGACGCATTTAATTTCCAATAACCAGAACCTTTGGTGGAAGCATTTATTGCCCGAATGGTAAAGGAAACTCCAGCTTCATGGTCCGAAATAGAAGATGGCAAAGTGACATGCTTGCAGCTATGAGTAAAAGCAAGGGCACCTTTGTTGATGTAGCAACGATCTATACGAGTTGACATATTGAATTGTGAGGATGAAAAAGTGAAAGATTTCTTAGTCGGGTGGAAATGTCGGAAAAGGTCGAGTAAATCGTGGTTTTGAACCAAATCCTCAAATTCTAAACTCCCAAATTGTCCACCAGAGACATTTGTAGAACGACGGTCCAAAGAGGGATCGGAAACAAAGTTCCAGTCGCCAGCAATAATTGTCTTTTCAAGAAGGGGCACTGATTGGAAAAAATCCAGAAGATCGGTTGAAAGGAAGTTTTGGCGGGCACGAGGTACAGCAGGAGCATACACAGCAATGCTAGAGTACTCAGAATCTTCCCACACATAATCAACCCTTGTATAACGTCCGTTTGGATCGGCGTAATCGTTGATGACGTTCACAGGCATAAAGAAGAGTACGGCTGTACCAGCACAATGACGGTTTCCAAGACTCCAAAACCCAGATGAAACTCCCAAAACCTTTTCAATTTTAGGAATTTCTTCCAACTTATAAACCCTTGTGTCTGTCAGATAGAGAACCTTCCAATTATGGATCTTTCGCAAGGTGTTCAACTGTGCTTGCTTAATGCTCTTGTTGATACCATTGATGTTTAAGGAACAATGAACAGCTGTAGGGACCGTGGTAGACAAGTTTGGAGCAGGCAATGTAGGGTTATGAGCAAGACGGCGTCTATTCATGAGCAAGAAGGAAGGAAGAGAAGGACCTTACTATCATGATTTGAAGATCAAGCGTCAGCAGCTTCCCTTGCAACGGCTTCCTCCTTGTCGGCTTCCTCAGCCACCGCCTTTGCAGCTTCGACCTCTGCCACTGCTTCCTTGTGATCAGCACCCTTGACGTGACGGTAGCACCGGAAGAAACCATTGCCCGCGGTCTTGCACAGTGTGCACTTCCACGCCTCGCGAGAGGCATCGGAAGCCACGTACTCGATGTAGGTGTCCTTCTCGATCTCACCCATGAGCTCGGTCTTGGCTGTGGAATGCACGGGGGGGTAAGTTGGTTTGGAGCAGCAATTGCTAAGGAAAAAGCCAAATCGACGGCGCGGATGGAACCCAACAAAACTGTCTTAGCGGGGGTTCGGGGGCGGCAGCCCCC